AGGGAACACTGATGAAGTCACTTCACCTTCAACACATGGTTCCATTATCTCTCAAGAAATCTCAACTATCTTGGATGCTCACTGCACTGGTGGCCTGAGTCAAGTAAAGGGAACAGTGGCAGCCATTCCTCAGCTACAACAGGAAGACCACACCGCTGCTCTCTATCAGAGTAAGCTGATAAGCCTACAGCAGCAAGACAGTACTGTGAGTAGAGCCCTATACTACGTTCAGAGACATCAAAGACCAAACAGGTGTGAGCGTGCATCTGAACCCCGCAGTGTGATCAAACTACTGAAGCACCTGAAAGAGCTCACCATTTGTGATGGTATACTGTACAAGGAGAAGAGAGACCATCACATGAACAAAAAGCTCTTCCAATATGTTGTACCTGATTTACTGAAGCAGCAAGTTCTCCATGGACTTCATGATACAGCGGGTCACTAAAAGCGCTCTCGAACACTATCTCTTGCAAGACAATGATTATTTTGGACTGGGATGGAGCATGACATTGAGAGTCCTGTGAAGAACTGCCATCGATGCATTGTTTGAAAGACTCCGGAACCCCATGCTCGAGCTCCACTTGAGAACATTAGCACCTCAGAAGCAATGGAATTGGTTTGTATAGACTTTTGGACTGCAAAAGTCCAGTCTGCAAAGCAAGTAGCTCGTCGCCTGTGGAATTACTTATTCCGCATATATAGATTTCTGAGGCCTTTTCACTCCGACCAGGGAGACAATTTTGAAAGTAGGCTGATAAAAGAAGTGTTGGAGTTAGCTGATGTGGAGAAATCACACACTACTCCCTACCATCCTATGGGGAATAGGATTACAGATCCCTTCAATAGAACCCTTGGTGGTATGATCAGAGCTCTGCCACCAAAGTCCAAACCCAAGTGGCCACAAATGCTACAGATGTTGACCTTCTGCTACAGCTGCACAGAGCACGAGACAACTGTCTTGGCACCATTTTATCTCATGTTTGGGAGGACCCCACGACTTCCCGTTGCCGTCATATTTCAGAATGTCCTCACAGACAACAGTGTAATCAACTGTTGAGCTGAATCTCAGGAGTGAGTCAAAGAACTACACTTCCCAAAGTGCACCAGCAGCAGCAAACCGGTTGCTTATCACCTGATCAATCATTTTCACTGATCTGGAGCACCTATGAAGACATGGACGGACTCAGTCATTCAGAATAACAAACTTCAGAGAGAAGACAAGTTCACTCACAGGTTCAGTTCAAAGACACCAATGGTAAAAGGCTTAAATGGTTAATTCATTTAAGTTATTTAGAATGGTTATTTAAATGTTTAAACTAATTTAAGTTCATTAAAATGTTTAATTAAAATGGTAACTTTTTGTTCTGTCTTTAAAGGGTTACAACCTAATTTACTGGCTAATTTACTGGACAGACCAATCAACTGAAGGCAAACTAAAAATAAAAAAGATTGAGTTGGAAATTTGACGAAGCGCACCACTGACTTGGTGCGGATAGCAGGAATGGACCGGACTGGGCTGGCGACGCGCACCACAGGCTCGGTGCAAGGGACAGGAACAGACCGGACCGTACTGGGGACACACACCACTGGCCCTACGCAGGGATCAGGAACGGGCCGGACCGGACTGGTAACACACCCCAGTACCTCTCGCCGTGCCTCTACACCTTCCTTCCCCTCTTTGACCAGTGGCCCCCGTAACCTGGCGGCCTCCTCTGCCAACCCGCTGGGCCGCTCTATCGTGGTCTCCTGCTGCACCGTCGTCCACGGCGTGAGCCCCCCCCTAAAAAAATTCTGGGCTTCTCTCCTACCCGTGGACCAGGTCTCCATATCTCTCGCCAGCCTTTCACCCTTCTGCTTCCAAGTCAAGCCCCTCTCTTCCTCACACGGCTTGACCCAGTCGAGGAGGCGAAGGAGATCCGCTAGAGATCTCCCTGTCGATGGCTCCTGGACACGCTGCTTGGTCCAGTCTTGGTGGGATCTTCTGTCACGATCGTCGAAGGAGGACCAAGGCGCAGCGTTGAAGGCGAACATACTCTTTTATTAATTGCACGAACAAAAACAACAAACGATAACGTGACGTCCACGGTCTAACACAAACCACACTGGAACAAGATCCCACAACCACTGTGGGAAAACAGCCTGTCTAAATATGGTTCCCAATCAGAGGCAACCAGCAACAGCTGACACTCGTTGCCTCTGATTGAGAACCACTCTGGCCAACATAGAAATACACCAACTAGCATACACAAAGGAAACTCACACCTTGGCTCAACATACAAGTGTCCCCAGAGCCAGGGCGTGACAGTCAACTTGTTGTTTACCCCACCCTGGCTTAGTTTCTCAGGAAGAGGATGCTTTAGAACAATAACGAGTCTGTTTCTGCTCCTTGAGCTATCTATGGTTGACAGATATCTCCTTGGCTGTACGCTCAGAACGGCTGTGGGGAGTGAAAGTGGGAGAGAGGAAGCAACCCTGAGGCAGGGGAAGGTGTGAAACTATCTTGTCGTCTCACACCTTGGCTGTGTGCTCAGCAATATGTCTCCTCTGTTCCTTTAAGCAGAGAACTCTTTACTATTATTCAAGTTTCTAATAGCTGGTTACAAATGATTATATAGGCCTCTCTAATAACTGCTTACAAATGATTATATATGCATTTCTAATAAAGCAGGTAATCATAGAATTTTCCCTCACACATTACCCACTTCTGTGGACAGTATGAATGACTTTCACATCTCTGAGCCTGCCCAAGATAATTACCACTCAGAAGCATCCATTGACAAACCAGAGCCTGTAGTTTGCATTCAGCCTGCTTCAGCCAAAACAAGAGTAGGTAGATCTTTTAGACCTCCAAAAAGGTCTAAAACCAAGTCATAGATTATTCAGATTCGTCAGTTAGCAACTTGCTTTCCTTTGTCAGAAATATGTTTTCAGTGTAGAGGAGTAGAGAATGTGTCAAGAGGATAAGCAGCAGCCAAGCTAACACAAAGCAAGTGTTTTCCAAGTACTTAAAGTATAGAGCTAAGTCATAGTGTGAGAGGTGTACAAGGCATCTATTTAGTCTAAGTTAGGTTTGGGGCCTGGTATATCTCCATTATCACACACTTCCTAGAGGAGAGTTTTACAATTTACATGTAAAATAGTGCTCTATGAGATACACCAATTTTTTGGGGGGTATATTTTTTATAAAATTCTATTCTCTCTATGGTCTGAAGACTTAAGGATGTGCTTCCCCAATTTTGCAGAATTTAAGGGGTGTGTATGTAACGGTGTAATTAAGTTGTTAAATTCCTGCATAAAATGTGTATTACGCCACCTTCTGGTAGATTAGTGTGGTTACATTGTCTAATATACTCAGTAATAAAGGTATGGGATTCTGGGTAATTTTTACATTTAACATTTTAGCAGACGCTCTTATCCAGAGCGACTTACAGTTAGTGAGTGCATACATCATTTTTTATACTGACCCCCCATGGGAATCGAACCAACAACCCTGGCATTGCAAACGCCATGCTCTACCAACTGAGCTACATCCCTGCCGGCCATTCCCTCCCCTACCCTGGACGACGCTGGGCCAATTGTGCTCCGCCCCATGGGTCTCCCGGTCGCGGCCGCACTGCTTTGCTTTATCTTGGCCAGGTCGCAGTTGTAAATGAAAACTTGTTCTCAACTGGCTTACCTGGTTAAATAAAGGTGAAATAAAAAATAAATAAATTAGAAGTCTGGATAGTTGAAGGGAATATGGAGGCAACTCCACGGAGCATAATGGAAGGCCATATTGCTTTCACCAATCCAGGCATCAGTGTCCTAGTATCCAACTGGGACAGGGGCTGGGATTCAATCGAAATAACTAGCTCGCTTCCGTCTATATAAGTAATTACTCCCCTAGACCAAGGTTAGTGACACAAGTATAGACAATATGGTTCTAGCTCTACCTAGCCCATAGAGAATGATAGAGATATCATCTTTATATGCACTGAGTATACAAAACATGAAGAACTCTTTCCTTGACATAGACTGACCAGTTGAATCCAGGTGAAAGCTATGATCCCTTATTGATGTCACTTGTTAAATCCACTTCAATCAGTATAGATGAAGGGGAGGAGACAGGTTAAAGGAGTTTTAAGCCTTGAGACAATTGAGACATGGATTGTGTATGTGTATGTGTGCCATTCAGAGAGTGAATGGGCAAGACAAAACATTTAAGTGCCTATGAACGGGGTATGTTATTAGGTGGCAGGTGCACCTGTTTGTGTCAAGAACGGTGGAGAGAGGGAGGAGAAGCATTGGAGTTAACATGGGCCAGTATCCCTGTAGAGTCCATGCCCCGACGAATTTAGGCTTTTCTCAGGGCAAAAGGGGGGATGGGGTGGGACTTCCTATAGGTTAAGGAAGGATCACAGAATTCCATCCAGATCACCTGGTGGGATCAGCAAATGAATTATACTCATGAGAAAACATTCCATAACTCCAGGTGGCAGTAAATCGCCAACCTTGGCTTTATACCTGTTCAAACACACTCTAGGTAGCAGTGTGCACCCTTTCAGTTTGTTTGCCAACTCATAGAAGTAGTAGAAGAAGAAAATGGACTACTTCAAAATGAAGGTGGCCTCAATGGCTCTGCCATAATGGGACAGATAGAATGATGTGATGTCTATCTAAGTCTATGGTTACGGAGACTAGTCCCATATGAGATTGTTAGCTCACAGTCATAACCTTCAGTGTTGTCGTCCTGGTGAGCAGAGGGTGATGCTGACGCCCCTATCCAACAGGCAGGGAACAGCTCCTGAGTGAAGGCACAGTGGAAGGCATGCAGCCGCGTGGGAGTGGTGGGAGTGGCCAGCCATCGTTTCCCGGGACCCATTGTGCCAGGCGCTCAGCTGGCACTCATCCAGCTGGAGGCTCCAGGGAAGATCGTTCATTCCCACCTTACACCATTTCCCCTTTTCCTTCCTGGGGATGCCCTCGTAGGTCACCTCGGTGAGAGATGGAGGGGTCAAAGGTTATGGTGGGATAGGTGCCCGTAGGTTCTCCTGGGAGAGGAGCAGGTGACCGTTGACCGTGCGAGGGTCAAAGGTCAGGGTACAGCGGTCTGAGGAGGAGGGGGAAGGGAGCAGGGGAGAAGACAATTAGGTGTACGGCTTATTAGTCTAAATTAGCTCTAAAACAACGGATAGGTGATATAGCATGTTTATTTTGGCAAACTCTTGAACATCATTCAGATGACTAATTATATAGCCCAGAATAAATAGTTATGTTATTATTTACAGTTACTGTGTTAATATCTATGAGAGTTTTATGTTAAAGTAAGGAACAACCACATACATTCACTGAGGCCCTGCTTTCCAGCTAGGTGACATGGAGCAGCAGGACTGGGGACCACAGCCAGGATGGTGTGCTTATCCTGGGGAGAACCTAGTGAAGGGAATGGGGAAGAGGAGGGAGATTGGGCGAGAAATACAGAGACAGATATTTTAACAGATTGGAGATGACTATCCATAAAAATAAAATCTTCATACAGTGAGGTTAGGTGAGGTTAGGTTACCTTGCTTGTCCTGCCCCACAGCTGTAGACACAGCCTTCTCCAGGTCCTCAGACACTAGCTTGGAGATCCGTTACAGGATGTCTGTCACCCCGCTGAGCCTGTCCTGCAGGTTAGGGGTCACATCCACTTGAATGTCCTTCATATGACGAATCTCCACCAGCCGAGTCTCCTACAGAGCAAATTAGGAAAATATGATATATTATGATTCATGTTAGTAATAAAACAATATGGAGTTTTATCCCAAAGCTACTTACAGCTAACAGATATATTAGTTGTTGAGGATGGAGGTATCTAGTCCGGGCTTCTTTAGGAGCTGACAGTGGAGAACAGTCAAACAGTCAAAAACACATCTGAAACACAACCCTCGTCAGCAGAGCAAACATAAAGAGAGAGCGGAGACTTACCCAATGAGATTGGCGGCTGGGGCCCATCCGATGGTTCATGAGTGGAGGCAGAGTTACCAAAGCGAGAGCCAGGGAGAGAAGCATTTCAGAGGGGAGAGGCCATAGAGCTACCTGGCGAACATGCAGGGGTGGCGGAGCTTCAACAGTGGCATTCCAGAGGGAGGTATGTACAGGGAAGTCCAAAATGGATAAATTCCCAAGGCAATAATCCAGGGATGGGTCAGGGGACCAGGGAACCAGTCAGGAGGCCGGCGATCAGAGGAAGACTAACAGTCAACCAGCACTAAGCCAAGGTTGTAAAAGTTGCAGAACTCCGGTACTTCACAGAGAACAGGCCAAAAGGTAGACAAAACAGACAATGTAAAGGGTGGGAAGAATGAGTTTTTACTCACCAAAGTGTGGTCAAAGACTTAGTAGTAGTACCTAAACCACAGACATAGTTATGGTTTTTTTAAAACATATTTCCAGATATTTTCTAAACTACCCACAGTGCACTATTTCTCAACCTCAAAGGGAGAATCTACATTTTTTGTATTGATCTCCTGTGGGAATTGAACCCTCAACCCTGGCATTTGCAAGTGCCGTTCTCTACCAACTGAGCTACATGGGAGTTTAAGTTATAGGAAATTGGCTGGTCCTCTATATAACGTCACACCCTGCAAAAACATTTTCCGGCATGATTTCATCATTCTTCGGAATACTGATTGGTTTTATGTAATAACTAGAAAAACATAAAAGTGAGGTGTAACTTTGCATTGGGACTTTTGATACGTATACTAATGCAAATCCATATGTTACATGTGATTACGTTTATGCTACCTACCCTTTAACAAAACAAACAACTTGATGAAAAACTGACAAAGAACTAAACAGATTAAGTTTAGCGAGTAAACAGGTGCCAGGGAGAAGCGGCAGTCAAGCACAAAGCCAGCAGATACTTTAGCTCGGAAACTAATAAAATTGACACTGCTTTCAAAGAGAAATACAGAGCACTTTGCTCATGAGAATACTTAGGCTACCAGTATGTATTGTATGCCTTGTTGCTTTCGTGTAATGTGAAGACTTTGAACCTACTTATTTTCTCAAGTTACCCATGAAAGAAAAGTCAAGAGCCTTAACACGTGATTTGTTTTTCATTATTAACGTCCCATAAAAAAATATTTTGCACTGATACAATTTAGAGAAAAACACACTTAAGTGACTGTACTTAACATCCCCTTCCCCTGCCTCTGTCCACTCCCAGGGCTGTAGAGCTGCCTGTCCTGCCTGTGGAAGTTACTGGGTGACACCTGCACCTTCATAAGCACAGTGGTCCCCAGCAGTGTGTGTGGGTGTGTGGTGTGTGTTCTCGTGTCTCTCTTTCTGTGTGTGTATGTGTTCACCTTCTGTCTCTATCTGTGTGGAAAACAGAGGAGGTGGAGCAGCCTCTGTCCCAGGCTCTGGAGGGTTGGGTGATGCAGCAGGCTGTGACAGAACTGACACGGGGAGGCCAGCTAGAGCAGGCTGAGGCCCTCTGCTCTCAGGTACACACATACACACTGCACATATGTGGTCAAAGCCCTCATACACACAGCATGTACATGCAACCCCTATACGCTCAGTACTTCCAATCCACATCCCTCATACATCTCTCACAGCTCTAGTTTTTCTCTTCTTTAGTCTTGTTTGGAAATGCTCTTTAAGCCTAAACCTCTCTAAACCCATCTCTCCTCCCTCTCTCCACCGTCCCTCCCCACTCCCCCTGCTTCCTGCCCCCTAGGTCCTGAGTGTGTCTCCAGAGCATCCTGCTGAGGCAGGTGCAGTGTGAGCGCCTCCTGCTGTCCACTGCCAGCCTCAGTCCTGGAGCAGCTCAGCAGTGCTATCCTAGCCAACCCCACCTCAGTGGCAGCCTGACACGTGAGTCACAAACACTACCTACTGGGGTGGGGAGAGGGGGAGGGGGGGGGCTAGGTGTGGGGACATAGTTGTACATGGAAGATATTGTCCTGAACGTTTGTAAAGTAGTGGATGTTCACCTTCCTTCCTCCAAACATTCTCCCTCACTTCTCACATACTCCTATCTATTTTGTCTCTTTGTCTCTCTCTCTCTTTTTCTCTCTCAGTGGCTGGCGGAGGTGGGCCGCACCCAGGGTCTGCTGGTGCAGGCAGTAATGGCCTACAGACAGAGCCTTCAGCTGGCATCCCAGCTTGGCCTCCAATGTGAAGATGGCCAGTCTGCTGCAACTAGCCCTGCTGGCCCTCAGTCCTCTAGCCCCGCTAGCCCTACTGGGAATGGTGAGTCCCTGAACCAGTACCTGAGCTTGAGGAGACAAGGAATATGACGAGATTTCTGATGCCCAGAATCCTTCCATTCAGTTCCATTAACCAGCTCTGCAAACGTTATGTCAAAATAATGCTTGGTACTCACCAAAATATGGAGTTTTCACAGAGCAACTATTGTCATTACTGTTGTTACGCACGGTATGTACTTCCAAAAAAGGTCTAAATTAAATCAAGGATCTTTCGGGATACTATACTGCTGCTGGGTCAGCCGACCTGTGTGTGTCAGTAATGAGTGATTTTATTGGAGGTGCCAAGGTGGTTTTGGCACATGTGCACTTGGTCAAAAACAATAGATAATTTTTATTTAGACCTTTTTTGGAAGTACATACTGTGCGTAACGGCAGTAATGACGATAGTCGCTCTGCGAAACTCCATATTTTGGTGAGTACCAAACGTATTTTGACATTATTAAGTTTGCACAGCTGGTTAATGGGACTTTGAATTGAAGAATCCTGGGCGTCAGAGCAGAGCTCGTCATAATCATCGTCTCCTCAAGCCCAGGAACTGATTCAGCGAGTCCCCTCTTGGTCTAGCTAGCCCTACTGGGCATGGTGAGTCCCCCACTGGGCCGAGCCCTGTTAGCCCTACTGGGCATGGTGAGTCCACCCACTGGGCCGAGCCCTGTTAGCCCTACTGGGCATGGTGAGTCCCCCACTGGGCCAAGCCCTGTTAGCCCTACTGGGCATGGTGAGTCCCCCACTGGGCCGAGCCCTGTTAGCCCTACTGGGCATGGTGAGTCCCCCACTGGGCCGAGCCCTGTTAGCCCTACTGGGCATGGTTAGTCCCCCACTGGGCCGAGCCCTGTTAGCCCTACTGGGCATGGTGAGTCCCCCACTGGGCCGAGACCTGTTAGCACTACTGGGCATGGTGAGTCCCCCACTGGGCCGAGCCCTGTTAGCCCTACTGGGCATGGTGAGTCCCCCACTGGGCCGAGCCCTGTTAGCCCTACTGGGCATGGTGAGTCCCCCACTGGGCCGAGCCCGGTTAGCCCCTACTGGGCATGGTGAGTCCCCCACTGGGCCGAGCCCTGTTAGCCCTACTGGGCATGGTGAGTCCCCCACTGGGCCGAGCCTGTTAGCCTACTGGGCATGGTGAGTCCCCCACTGGTGGGCCGAGACCTGTTAGCACTACTGGGGCATGTGAGTCCCCCCCACTGGGGGCCCGAGCCCTGTTAGCCCTACCTGGCATAGGTGAGTCCCCCACTGGGGCCGAGCCCTACTGGGCATTGGTGAGTCCCCCACTGGGGCCGAGCCTGTTAGCCCTACGGGCATGGTGAGTCCCCCACTGGGCCGAGCCCTGTAGCCCTACGGGCATGGTGAGGTCCCCCCACTGGGCCGAAGCCCTGTTAGCCCTACTGGGCATGGTGAGTCCCCCACTGGGCCGAGCCCTGTTAGCCCTACTGGGCATGGTGAGTCCCCCACTTGGCCGAGCCCTGTTAGCCCTACTGGGCATGGTGAGTCCCCCACTGAGCCGAGCCCTGTTGGACATGGTGAGCTTCCTTTGGGCTACACTGACAACACCAGGACCTTGGGGCAACCAGGGAACAATTGATTCAACATGGCAGTGTTTTCCGGTAATATTTAACACTGAGCTGTAGGCAAAATTTTAGTGTTGATGGAGTTTCTGGGACACCATAGAAGGGAGCAATTGGGCCTATTTACAATTATTTACACATCCATGACAAGTCAAGAATGCCGAGTTTGTTTATATTCCAGTAAATTGTAGTGATTCTTGACATATGAACACTTTATTTTATTAGTCTGTGGAATGTGGTTGAACCAAGAGATGGTGTATTGAGTCAGTTACTCACTGAGACAAACAACGGACCACACACAGTAATGATGACGCACACAGACTGCAGGCTAGTGCGGGATGACACACACAGAGCACACCCAGAGGCCTCCATTGCACAAACACCAGCTGACGGGCTGCGGCAGAGAGAGAGGCTGAGGAGAGATGGGTAAATATGGGAATAGGCGGCACTGAAGGAAATGATGGGACCAACTGACCAAGGTCAGGTGGAAATGCAAACAGCAACTAGGGTAGTCATTTGTTAGGTTACGGAAACAGTGCGCTTTTCCAGCCTTCATCCTTTTCAATGCCCCCATCCGTTTAAACAACCCCAGTGGCTGTAATGCTCTAAAAGGGGAGGTTCGGGTTGGGGATCAGACTCAGGCTGTTTGACTTTCAGGGATGACCAAGCAGGCAATGAGAGACAACTGAGTAAGGGTGTAAACAATGTAAGGGTTTTATTAAGAGGAGAAAATATACCAATGTGCTTTAAAATAGACAAAAGGGATAAATTAATTTAAATGAAAAAACGGAATGTCCTATAAACGTAAAAAAATAACTAAGATCTAAAGTGCAGGAACCGAACGTACATCACCCAAAAATCAACTCCCTGGAGGGACTTTACACAGAGACTAAAATGGGAGTGGCCAGTTCCATTCTCTGTTCCAAGGGGAGTCTGCAAACCTACAAGTTTAAATACAGACAATAAGGATATAACGTTTGAGATATCCTGATCATGTTTTTAAATACAAGCATTATTTTAGCAATAAAAGTACACAATAACAATGTATAACTATTCTTGGCTATTTTAAACTCATCAAGGGAAAAATAGTTATCCCGGGGTGAACAGAGTGTTGGCATTTTCCAACGCCCCTTCCAACGCCCCTCCGGAACCATATTTTAACATCGGGATTCTACCAATTCTA